GCCGAATACGCGGATTTGGTGCGTGTGAAGGACCGCGCCATCAAGCGCCTCGACGCCTTGCTGCGAAGGCGAACGGGGGGGCGGCAGAGTAAAGAGGAGGGCAACCACCAATACCCGTCGGAAAGCGAGGAAAAGGAGCAGCAGCGGCAGGTCCAGCCAGAGGGGGCCTTCCCTGCGGACTCGAAACACGCCCAGCTACTGGCGCACGTGCTGATGGTAGTGATGGATTTGGACGACGAACTGTTGATGCTCATGGGGGAGGAGCACGGAACCTGGGAGGAGCTAAAACGCCTCCGCGGTGACATTCGGTCGCACCTGAAGGAATTGGAGGCGGAGCTAGGGAGGGGGCCGGGCCCGGGCGAGGGGAGTCCCAAGGTGGGGGAAAGAGATTTGCCTGCCACCGCCCCCATCTCTCGATCCCTGTCATCGCACGTCGGGGGGGAGGCCCAGTGGGGGAAAGAGTGACGCGCGCTCTCCCCTTGCCGTCTCCTTCTCGATGCCGACGTGCTTGGAGTCTGGGTCGGGCGGGTTGGGACTGGCGCCGGGCTCGGGCGGGGGGGGCGTCGCCTTCTCCCGAAAAGGGAAGGGGAGGGAGGCCGCCTGCCGTCTGCGGGCCCTGGACACCGACCCGGCCAAGACCAAGTCCGCGCCGAAGGGAGCCTTGCACGACCCAGACAGTCCCAGCGGCACCGTCACCACCTCGTCCTTGTCCTCCTCTGCCTCGTCCGCCTTCTCCAACGTCAGTGACCAGGCGGTTGGACTTACCAGCGACGAGGAGAGGTCCCTTCGCGGGCCTGGAAAGTGCCCAAGCACCGGTTGCGGCAAGAGCGTGGGAGAGTGGGAGCCGCGAACGTCCTGCCTTGCTCCTCCTCCTGCGTCCATGTCTCGCGCAGTGTCCTCAGACGGACTTTCCCTTCTCCTCCAGCGCCAGCACCAACCTCCCCTCTCGATCGCTCTCACGCAGAATGTCAAGGAGCGAGCGGCATTCATCCACCACCGGGCTCTGGCCAGCACCACGTCGTCCTTGAGCCCCTCAGTCCCGCCGCCCGGCCTGCGGGCATCCTACCATCGCCGCGTCTGCCGTCCACAGGTAGAGAGCCTGGAGGGATAGGGGAGAGAGGCGGTGGTGAGCGCCAGCCCGGACGCCCTCGCGTCTTGAGCATTGGCGAGCGCGATGCGGAGGGGAAAGCCGGCCGAGGCAAGGCAGGGGAGCGGACAGGCGAGAGGAGACGGACAGGTGCCACCCCATGCCCGCGATGTAGTGTATGCGGAGATGAACGGAACACTGGTGCTGCGATGCTGTCGTCTTCGATTGAAAGAGATTTGAAGGAGAAGCGAGGAGATCGCAGGGGCGACAGGCGGCGGGGAGAGCAGAAGAGCAAGGCGTCAAAAAGTGTTGTGAGCCACCAAGCTCAGCAGCTGCGCGAGGAAAGCGGGGGACGGTATGCAGGTCTGATAGAAGCATAGTGCAACAAGCAAAGTACGGAATAATTAGCTTCAAGATTTCCCTCTTTGACTTTTTTGAATTTTGAGACGTGAAAAAAATAGTGGATTTATTTTTAATAGTGAAATACAGGAGTCTTGCGCCGACCTTGGTGCTGGCGCAGGCATCACGGTAGCAACAGCGAAATTAGAAGATACAGCTGAATAGGTAGTTGAAAGTAGGCTTGTGGTCGGCTGTCGGAGACGCGGAAGGGGCAACAGACGGTCGAGCACATCTGTGATCTTGCAATTAAGGAATGTGTTTCAGACTTCACCTCGGAGCTTGACGAGGTACCTTAATGCATTTGCTTGCGGAACGCCGTAACAAAATGACACTTAAAGAGATAAAGGAACGGAGTGTGAATTGTGGGGGATAGAATGTTTGGAATGGAGGCAACGCGGCAACAGCCTGCGTACGCTCATGGTCGTAGCGAGAGAAAGGTGGCCATGGTATACTCTTGGAAGGGCAGGCAGAAGATAGTGATAGACAATAGTGTTTAAGAAGCATGAGGGGACTTGTTTCGAACAGTAGAAAAGAAATGTGGAGACGCGTTTGGGTGTGGAGATGGATGTAAGTGAAAATACTGGGGCGGCGTTGGCTTCTGGCTACAGTTGAGAGTGTCGAACGGCTCCAATACAATAGCCCTAGGCTGAATGTCAGTAGGATGACTGGGAGACAGACGGTGGGCAGGGACGACGGCGACATGGCAAGGCGTGGGAGCGCGATGACGTTCACGTGTGTCGTGGTGATAACGTGGACGTTACCGCATACGGTGGAAAGGCGTCGTCTTGGCAGAACATGTGCATGAATTTTGATTTCCCACAGAAAATTAGTAATGGTCTAAAGAAAGAATCCTGAGCTTTCAAGCACTTCGATGGCGAATCCATTACCAGATCAATTGCCACCTTCCCCAAAGCTTTTGTGGGATATTTTGCTATTTGTAGTCATGTCAAGGCATATACACTCTCGTTCCAATCTCTTCAATCATCAAATTTCACAGCTGCAGCTGTCGTCTCTGTTGACGTCGGTGCAGCCTCCATCGCCGCCGACGCTGCCGCAGTCTTCTCGGCTGCAGCCGCTGCGAACTTGGCCGCCTTGCTCGATCCGGGTAGCTTGAGGTTCAAAAACGCGTCCAACTCCTCTATCATTCGCGGTGGCCATCGCCGCACTGTTCGTACCCACTCGATCCGCCGGTACCGCGGGTCCTCGTTGATGGCGTTGTACCAGGCTGTCTCCGCCTTACTGAAGTCCCCTTCCTTCCAGTAGATAACCGCCAACGCGGCCCTCATGTCCACCAATTGCGGGTATTTAACGAGGAGCAACCGCATTTGCTTGATAGCTTCTGCATCGTCCCCCAACTGATAGGAGGCCAATGCCGCGCTGGCCAAGGGGAAGACATAGCCCGGTTGCATCTTGGCGGCCTGCCTGTAGTCCTTCACCGCCTCCTCCCACCGACCCAAACCAGCTTCCGCATTGGCCCTGTTGTTGTACGTGACGGGGTCCTCCTTCCCCGTCAGAGCGACGTTCTTCCGGTTGGCCTCCGCGTAGTCTTGCAGAGCGGCTTCATACTGTCCTAAGCACTCCTCGGCCACCCCCCTGCCCAGGTTCGGGTCGGGCTCCTTGGGAGCCAGAGCGATCGCGCGATCGAAATCTTCCTTAGCTTCCGCACAGAGGCCCATGGAGGTTCGAGTGTTGCCGCGGTTACTTATGGCAGCGGCATTCTCAGGGTCCAAATCAATTACTTTCGTCCAAGCGCGGTCTGCCTCCTTCCATTGAAAGCGGTTTGTCGCCTGAAACGCCTGCTCCTGGAGCTTGGAAATGGTAGCCAGATCAATTTTCGGATTTTGAGTGCGGGTAATTGGGCTCTCCGTAGCTTGAATTTCCTGTGCAAGAGTGCTTGTGGAGAGGGCGACTGCGGCGTCGGCGGGTGAGGAGGAACGAAGGCCGAAGAGGGAGAGGAGCACCAGACGCCAGGCTGAGGGCAGTACCGGCGGCGACGAAGCGCTCCGTTGACATGTCTGTCGTGGTACCATTGAGAGCTTTGCGCATCTACCTAAGTTAACTTCCTTTTGTTTCCTGGGCGACGCCCCAAATCCTTGCGTCGTGCGAGGGAACAAGAGCAACAGGAGCAGCACACAATAGACCATGCCATTGCTTCCTACCCTGGATACCATCCCCGTGCTAATGTATCTTTGAAAGGAAGAAAATATGTGAGCGTCCACGATCGCACAGCGATTTCATACCTGCCTGATCACTGGGGCAACGCGTCTGTTGAGACCTGAGACTGTAATTTTTTCCTATTACCAGGGCCTGAAATGAACCCGGGTGCTCGCATGCCCCGCCGAGTCGCTGAGAAACTTGAACGAGTGCTCGCGCTGCCGAGTCCTGTGCTTGCTTTTCCAATTTGCCGCGAGCCCCAACAAAAACCATTTCCCACAGTAGTGCAAATAGTAGACAGTGTATATAATCCTTTCTGACCATGTCGTTCTCCCCTTAAACACATGCCACAGATTTCGTTCCGCCCATGCGCGAGCGATAAGCAACGCGCTCAGGTTGGCAGCTCCAAATGTCTGCCATATAACTACAAAAATTGTGCAGAGCTCACCAAACAAACTTCACACGGTGCAGCACACCTATAGATTTACAGAGGTATGAGGAAAATGGATCATGTAACACAGCGATGCACGTTTCGAAGGCCTTTGAATATATAACATATTTTCGTTCATTCCTTCGCAACCTGTGCTCATAGCGACCCCGTCCAGGATGGAGAGGCAGGAAGGCAAGCATGATCCGATGGTTGTAGACGCGCTGCATTCAGTGGAAGAGCTCTACCGACTGTTGGCTCACAACGAAAAGACCTCGCTTGCATCGGGGGAAACGGACGCGCCCGATGCTCTACTGCCCCTACAAGACTTATGCCACGACACACTACGCGTCGTAAATGCTGTGCCGGGATACAGCGGAGCTTCATCGACCCTGCCGACGGTCAGCGACGAGGATCATCATGAAGCCAATGTCCGCGAGGCCTGTGCAGGCTCTACCATGACACCAGGGTATGCCCCGCTGTCGCCTCAGTCTTGCGACCAGGGTGGAACCGCCTTTTTGGATGACAACGAGCATCACGAACGAAGTCCACTGAAAGCCGGAAATGGTCACAGTAGCAGGGCGCCTTTATCGGGTCGACGGCGCTTCTCAAAAACCCCACCAATTCCTGCTCGTCGACCTCCCTCTTGGCTCAGTGCCCTTCTCGTCTTCTCGCATGGAAATCGTCAGCGGAAAACGTCGGTCGAACAGGAAAGTGCATCGCCTGGAGCGCCCTTGGTGGAGATCCAAGCAGTCTTTGGAAGCGACGCCGTTCCAGAGGGTTTCAAGCGCGTGAGCAATACTCCCTGTGGGCGCAAGGCGGACTTGAATGCCGGCGCCGGTGGGCACTACATCTACCTGGCGGTTAGAAAGGACAACCCTGGCAGGCGTCGGCCACCCGTGGTGGCGCTGGCGGTGATTTTCCCCGACCGACAAGAGTTCGTGCCACCGACCTTCTCGGTCGTGCGCCGGCAGGGGGAGCCCGTCGATTTTAATGCGGGCACGCACGGGGAGCGGGTGTATTTGTGCTATAAACGCGGGGCTGGCAATCCGATCACAGACATCCAAGTGATTTTCTCGCCTAAGAAAGAAAGCCCCCCCCTCGGATACACCCTTCTAGCCCGCACCCCTTTCAAGTACGAAGCTGACTTGAACGCCGGGGGCGCGAGCAGCAACACCACCATCTTTATCTGCTACAAACAACATCTACGGAACGTCAATCAACTCCGGCAGAGAGAGTGCGCGGTCGCACGCTTTTCCCTCTCTTCATCTGCGCAGGCCGAAGATGGCTACCCTCCAGGCACGGACGGGGAGGGGGGGCCGGGCTGGTCACCCGCCACTACTTCGTCCTACGAGTCACTCCTCACGGGGCCCGTGGTGAGTCTGGCAACGGCACGGAAGGGATGGGAATTGCACCGCTGCTTCAGTCATCGCGGTGAGAACGATGTTTTCCTCTCGGGAGCCTCTTCGATTGCCGCCACGACGGGTCTGGACAGCAACCTGTCCGAGTCCAGCGCGGAGGGCGCGCATGCCACCAGCGGCCACAACAAGGACACGCATGCCGCTGCAAGTCCCAGCAGGAGCTTGGGGTTAGAAGACGATGCGCACGCTCTCGCCCACTCGGAGGCTCTGGACGACCTCTGGTCCGACGCCGACCTCCGGCCGAGACAAGGCCTGCCGCCGCCCACGGAGAACGCGCGCGGCGATACGGTCGGGGAGGAGGACGAGGAGAAGGCATTTCTGCGGCGGACTTTGCTGACCCCTCTGTTGGTAGCTTTGTACACGGGCAATGGACAAGTGACGGCGGTTGCGCTGAGGGGGCTCGTGGGTGTGGCGACTCGACATCTGGGTGCCGAGGCTGACGGACACAGACAGAGAGAGAGGAGCGCCTGTCCGCTCCAAGCCTTCGTCATCGAGTCCTTGTGTTTCTTCGTCCATCGCGTGCAAGTGGAGCACTTTGACACCGTGGTCCAGTACCTTCGTCACGTAATCCAAGCGGCCTCCGTGGGGGACGTCGACCTTTCCTCCCAATCGTTGCAGCAGATATTTACCACTTGCGTCTTTTTGTGCAATTTTGAGGCATTCAGAGCGTTGGAAAATGAACGTCACGCTCGATATGCTGCAGTGTCTGCCTCAAAAGGTAATAGTAAGGCGATGTTAGACGCCATGGGGGTTACCACGGGGGCGATAGCGACGAAGGTGTCAAGCCACTGGGGCTTCGGAAGAGAGATGCCCGTTCTCGGGGTAGATTGCAGCGCCTTTCTTACCCTTAGGCTCCTGATTGAGTGCATCCTGCGTCGAGTGGAGGTCAGAGCTTGCGGTATGGAGGGCCTGGTGGGTCGCCGCGCGGTTGGAGTGGCGGGGAGTGCTGGCACTGTGAAGCGCACTCCTGTTCCCGCCGAGACAATCGCGAGGTCCCTCGTCTTGGACGTGGTGGCCGCAGCCATTCAGTTTGTTGAGCTCACTAAAGCTACGCAGCGCGCAGTGGATTGCATCAAAAGGGGGTCGGCCTCGTCGCACGAGTCCTTTTGGAAGGAGCTGCTGACTGTCTCGGCCATGATCACTAGGTCGCAAGCGGAGGAGAACGCCTTCTTGCTTCTCGCTGCCATTTGCAAGCTAGCTAGCGAAGCTCCTCGAACGGCAGTGGCAGGAACAGGACAGTTGGTAGCGCGTGATGTCGCAGCCAAGTTGTTGGCGCTCGAGCTTCTCTCCACGCTGTTGAAAAGGGCAGGTGAGCGCTTTCAGAGCTCTCCACTCTTCGGCACTCAAGTTCGGCGACTCGTCGTGAGCACACTTCTATCCAATGTGGCCACGGGCATGCAAGACTTGAGCGTGCAGCGCCGTGTCCTCAGCCTCATAACTCTGCTGTGGCGGATGTATCGTCGCTGGTGCAAAATTGAATGTGGCTTCCTTCTCGACGCCGCTCTTCTTCAGCCCCTCCGTTTTTCTCCCTCCCTCATGCTGGTTGCTCGACAGACCGCGGTGATAAACGAGTTGATGCACTGGCTCGAAAATTTTCCCCAGTGCCTGGTCGAGCTCTACTTAAACTTTGACTTGGATCGCAAATCTTACTTGTCGGTGCAGCAGCCCCTCCCGGCATTCGAGGAAGCAGTGGCGACGGTGTGTGGCTTGGGAGAAGATCTCGGGGGTTATTTGGTGGCCCACGACGAGGAGACAGAGATGAAAGTGCTGCACGTGCGGACATTGGCGACCGTGGCGCAGCTGACAAGGTCCTTGATGAACGCCTCCGGGCACGCCCACCTGATCTCTCTGGATGCCAAGATCCGAGAGATCTCACTAAGCAACCAGCCAGGCCAAGGAGGGGGAGGATGGGAGCATGACGTGATGGTGCTGCCGAGTGCGTACGGTGAAGTGTTCCGCGGAAAGCAAAAAACTGGGTCTCTTCCCTTTCCTTCCGATCCGGCTCCCGGGGCGGGCCCTCCCATCCCGCTCCCACTCTCTCCCCCACTGACATTGCCTGCCATGCCGCCGCCCGCCCTCGTCATCCCCCCTTCTCAGCCTCTTGCCGCGTTCACGGGGAAAAGCAGTGCCGGTGTCGAGAGGGAAGAAGGGCCGAGGCCAATTGAAAGCTGGGACAAGGACACAGAAGAGCATATATGGAAGGGTCGGCCGCAGGTCTCTGGGCACGTCGGAGGCAACGGGACCGACAGCCCCCGAGCCCAGAGCCCTGGCAAGCAGACGGGTCAGAAGGCGACAAAAACCCGCACAGAAGAAGCGTTGGAAGGGTCGCCGAGACGTTCTGCGGGTGGTTTTCGGTCTATGACCCCTACGGGTCGGGGCACACGACGCACTACTCTTCTATCAAGGCTCGGCTCAGATGTCTCGGCAGCGACGCCAGCGGCACCCGCTCCTTCTCTTTCGTGTTCTCACTCCTCCCCTTCCTTGCCCCTGGCCATGAGAGCGGCAGGCGAGGGCCCATATTCCACCGGGTCCGCCTCTCCCATCCTTCCACAGGCATCATCCGTGCGCGTGCGGCAAGAACAACAAAGGAAACAAGAGGAGGTGCTTACGCAGGCCCTCTCCCTGTACCGCGCCAAGGGCCTGAAGAAAGCCGTCCAATACCTGGTCGCATCCTCCTTTATGAGCGACACGCCTCGCGATGTGGCGAGCTTTCTGCGCGTGTATCGGGACCTGCTCGATCCCGAGGCCATCGGAGACTACCTGGGGGAGGGGGGGCACGCCCACGATGCTGCCTATTGGAGCTTGCTTCGACTTTCCTACGTCCGGGCGGTGTCTTTCCACAACATGACCTTGGAGCAGGCCCTGCGCCACTTCTTGACGCGGTGTGGATTTCGCCTTCCGGGCGAGGCACAGAAGATCGACCGGCTCATCTCTGTGTTCGCCGAGTGCTACTTCCAAGACAACCAGGGCATGCCTTGCTGCCCCTTCTCCCAGCCTGATACTCCCTACATCCTCTCGTACGCCATCATCATCCTGCAGACGGACCTGCACAAGGTGGGGGGACAGAAACGTGGGAGGGGTAAGGTGAACAAGCCGATGACGAAGGAGGCCTTCATCAACAATCTAAGAGGAGTGGACGAGAGTCCAGACTTGACGCGTGAATATCTCTCGGAGATCTATGAATCGATTTCCCATCACCCCATCGAGATGAACTTGATGGTGATGCAGGTGGGTGGCGGAGGAACCGGTGGAGGAAGCGGGGGAGGTGACTCTCGAGCGCACCAGTTGCATCCTCAAGCCTCCGGCGGCAGGGGCAACAGCGGTGGAGGAGGGGGCATCTACCATCACCAGCACGACAGTGTTCCTCCAGCCGGGGGCGGATTCACGAGTCTGAGGATGCATGACTCTCGGATTGGCGACGAAGAAGGGAGTGATGCCGGGATGGGAAAGGGGGGAGGGGGGGGAGGGCTCGATGCCACGTTGTGCCATGCCCGCCGGGCAGTGAGTCAAGTTGTGCGGGACGCTGACGAGCTTTTGCGAGGCCTAGCAGTGTATCCCAACAGCTTTGCCTTCGTAGGCGTCAACGCGAACCTTACTCCCGATCTGGTGAAGCTCATGTTCGAAAGCGTCTGGTTTCATGCCCACGGCCTGGCCCACGCCGTGTTGCAGAACCCGACACAGAGCGACCCCGAGCCCATAATGATCTGCCTCGACATAGTGCAGCACATGTTGTGCGCCGCCATGTTCTTGAATCTGCGCCCACAGCGGCAAGCCTTTGCCTCGTTGCTTGCCAAATTCAAGTGGGAGCAGGAGCGTATGGCTTTTGGCGTTGCCGGGCTGGAAGCATCAAGAGGAGGAGCAGGAGCCGCTGGCATGGTGGATCACGCGGCGCCGCTCCCGGGCGTCATGGGCAGTGCTGTCACAGAACAAGTCAGTGCGAACGGGGGCGGAGGTGGGGTGAGAAAGAGCGAGCGAGCATTCGAAAGCAGCCGCCAGTTGACTGCCAACGCCCCCGGGAATAGCGGTCGAAGACAAAGCGGGGGGGGGGCCTGGGACGCTATCAATGAAGTGCACTCCCTGGTAGCGGACTTGAAGGACTCTGTGCAGCAATCTCGACTCCGTGAGGAGCTGAAGGCCGTCGCCAAGCGGATCGAGGCGCGTGCCAAGTTGCTGGAAGGCTCACGACGCTTTTTGCGGGAAGGAGAGCTTGTGAAGAAGTGTCGCTCGGGGAAGCGGAAGGTGTACACGTTCTTCCTCTTCTCGGACCAGCTGCTTTACACCCACCGGGGCTTCGCGGGTGAGTTCAAGGTGCATCAACAGCTGTTGCTCTCCCTGACGAAAGTGAGCAACGTAGAGGACCGCCGCAATTGCTCCTTCCAAATCCATCACCCACAAAAGTCATTTGTCGTTGTAGCGGACTCCCCGGAAATGAAACGTGTCTGGATGCGCGACATCCAGGAGGCGCGAAACCATTGTCGAAAAAGTGTGGTAGAGACACAGCTGTCAGTGATCGCAAGCCTCAAGACGGAGTCGGCGGGACTCATGGCTCTGCTTGAGGGCAGGGCGGATGACGCCCTTCTCGGGAATGCAAGGGAGGCCTCGGGGGCATACAACCCGACCTCAGTCCCAGCAAATTTGCCGTCCCGCCCC